TAGTTTGCTGGGGTATCAACTGGTACTGACTGTTTGGGAGTACTTCACTGGTTCTGACCCCAAGGAACATATCATGAATTCCTGTCGTAGTCATTTGGAATCATATCAGATGGACAGTTTAGTTATTGGTACCCCCTCTACTTCATTTGCGTCTACATCAGTTAATGTAGCCTCTACCTTCCATGTCTCCACTGCCACTGATTCCCCTTGGATCATTGACTCAGGGGCCTCTAATCACATGACCAGTAACCCAGACCTTTTTCAGTCTTATAGCTTTTTGTTAGGAAGGGATAAGGTGAGACTTTCATATGGATCATTCTCCTCCATTGCAGGCCAAAGATCAACATCCCTTCCTCATGGACTTAACTTGAATAATGTTTTACATGTCCCTCAACTTCCTATCAATCTGCTCTCTATTAGTAGTATCACAAACTCTTTAAACTACAACGTAACCTTTTTTCCTGGTTCATGTGTTTTTCAAGATCAAACTTCTGGGAGGACGACTGGTAGATGAAGCTTAGTGGATGGTCTTTACACTCTCAACAACAAGGCTGGTTTCTTAGTGTCATTCTTAAAGTCGCATAGTCAATCAAATAAGAGTCATTTTTTTTTTGTGGCATAATCGGTTAGGTTGTGTCTTTTGAAATAGTGCAGTCTTTGTTTCCTTATTTATTTAAGTCATGTCCAGTGCCGGATTTCCAGTGTCAAACATGTCAGTTGAGCAAGCAATGTAGAACAAGATTTCATTCAAGTAATAAAATATCAAGTTTCCCTTTCCATATTGTGTATTCTGATGTGTAAGGGCCTACTACTATAACTTCGGAGGGCGGGTATAAGTACTTTATCACATTGATTGATGATTTCTCCCGCTATACATGGGTATTTCCCATGCCTAGTAGAAACAAAGTTCCAACAATCGTGAGAAATTTCCTAAGGATGGTGTTTACACAGTTTCATGTTGAAATTCAAGTTTTTCAATCGGAATGCGAAGGAATAATTCCATGGTGAGCTTAATGAGGTCTTTGTTGGATCCATTCATAGAAGCTCATGTGCAAGAACAACGCAATAAAATGGTGTTGCAGAAAGAAAGAACACCTCTTGAGGTAGCACGGGGGATGATGTTACACATGAATGTTCCAAAATGCTTTTCGATAGATGTTGTACTTGTTGTTGCTTATGTCATCAACCACATGCTCTCCAGAGTGTTGAACTACAAGGCCCCTCATCAGTTGTTGTTCCCTTAGTCTCCTTTATTTTCCATTCCCATGAGGGTGTTTGGTTGTCGTGCTTGTCCATGACTTATCTCCATCTTGTGATAAGTTAGACCATCGGTCTATTCCATGTATCTTTCTGGGGTATCCCTTCTCTCAAAAGGGTTATCGGTGCTTTGATCTCGTTGGTCATAAGTTCTTTGTCTCTATGGATGTCTCATTTTTTGAGTTTGAACCATTCTTCTCGGTTTCTTCTTAGGGGGAGAGTAACGTGGAAGAGAAGCAGGTCCAGGTCCATCATGTTTCTCTTCTTTTATTCTGGATCTTGCTCCTTTTCGTGTCTTCCAACGTACACGCCGTAGAGATCAGCAGTGCGGCAAAGATGTGGAGCCACCAAACATTGAGCAACCAACACCTTTAGACTCCCATGAGGTAAGTCCAAATGAACTAGGCACTATTGCACTAGTTGATACCCCTGCTCCCATTTCGGTTGTGGATGACCTTGACATTCCTATTGCTCATAGAAAGGGAGTCAAGTCATGCACTACCAAACACCACATTGCCTAGTATGTCTCCTATGATCACATTTCCCCCTTACCGTGCCTTCCTATTTGTAGTTGATAGCATCCTCATACTCAGGAATGTTGCAAAGGTTTTAAAATACCCTGAATGGACAGATGCTATGAAGGAGGAGATTAATGCACTCCATAAGAATCATACATGGGAGTTGGTGGATCTTCCAAAAGGGAAAGATCCAATGGGGTACAAAGCAAGGTTGGTAGCAGAAGGGTACACTCAAGTCTATTGTGTTGACTATGATGAGACGTTTGTTCCAATAGCTAAGATGAACTCATTTAGGGTTCTTCGATCATTGGTTACAAACCTTGACTTGGAATTGCATCAATTGGATATAAAGAATGCCTTTTTAAATGGTGATCTAGAGGAGGAGGTGTACATGGTTCAACCCCTAGGTTTCTGTGCTAAAGGAAGTGAAAATAATGTGTGCAAGCTAAGAAAGTCCCTCTATGGTTTAAAACAATCTCCTAGAGCATGGTTCAGTAAATTTCATATGGCGGTCCAGCGAGTAGGGTTCAAACAATGTCTATCTAATCATACTCTCTTTGTGAAGAGATGTCAGGAATAAGTTGTTGTGTTGATAGTGTACGTGGATGATATCATCATTACAGGAAACTGGAGCTCAGAAATACAAAAGTTGAAGGAGTTCYTAGTCTCTCAATTTGAAGTGAAAGATCTGGGTCCTCTAAAGTACTTTCTTGGAATTGAAGTTGCCCACTCAAAAAGGGGCATCTTTATTTCTTAGAGGAACTATATCCTTGATTTGTTACAAGGCACAGGCAAGTTAGGTGCAAAGCTAGCAGATACTCCTATGGATGTTGATCATAAATTGTGATGGTGAACCTATAAAAGATGTGAAACAATTTCATAGGTTAGTGGGAACGCTGCTTTATTTGTCCATGACACATCCAAACATTGCTTATTCAGTGGGAAGGTGTTGTGGATGATAGAAAGTCCATAAGTGGGTATTACACATTTGTAGTAGGAAATCTAGTGACATGAAGAAGTAAAAAGCGAAGTGTAGTTGCAAGGTCAAGTGCTGAAGCGGAGTATAGGGCTATGGCACATGGAGTGATTGAAGTTCTTTGGCTGAAGAATCTTTTAGGGGAACTTGGGGTTACAGTTCACAATCCTATGTCCCTTTATTGTGACAATAGGGCAGCTATAAACATTGTTAGCAATCCTGTCCTATACGATAGGACCAAGCACATTGAAGTGGACAAGCACTTCATAAGAGAAGAATTGGAAAAGGGAGAAATCTGTACTCCTTATGTCAACTCCAAGGAACAACTAATTGATTTTCTCAGAAAAGGGCTTCCATACTTGTGACACAATGAGTTGTGTGACAAGTTGGGCATGATAGATATTTTCAGCCCAACTTGAGGGGGAGTGTTGTTGGATTTCGTTTTATTTCTACCGTTAAAGTGCTGTCAGCATGTTCTTTTCTTTGTTTAAGTTTTTTATTATTAGGGTGTCCCGCCAGGGACATATTTGTAATTCCCTTTTCTTTTATTTTTACAGCATGCTATTATAAATTAGAAGTTGGGCGCCACCAGCCCAACCTTTTGACTCCCACACACTTTTCTTCCTCTTCTCTTCTCTTCTCTTCTCTCTTCTCTCCTCCCCTCTCTCTCCTCTGTCCTAGAAAGAAAACAACAAATTTAGCTCTAAAATTGTTATTTAAATAACAATAACAAAATGATTAAAATATCTTATGATATTATAAAATAATAAAAAGATAAATATTAAGAAATAATAAAATTAATAAATTAAAAAATAATAAATAAGATTAAAAAGATTAATATTATAAAAATACTATTAATTGAAAAATATTATAAAATAATAATTCTCTTTGAATATTAATATTACAAAATAATATTAATTGAACAAATCTTATGATATTTTATGAAATATTATAAAATCATATTAATTTATTTATAGAGATTTTGGCTCTGTTGGAGGGGGTGAAAAGGGCTAAGGAACTAAATATAAACAGATTGATTATTGAAGGAGATTCGCAAGTGGTAATTGGTTGGATAGAGAAGACAAATGATGGGTTATGTTCATGCATTAATGAACAAAGGCAATTCAAGTGGTTAACTCAAGGAATGGAAGTGCATATCCAGTGGGTTAAAAGATGTGCCAATTCAAGTGGTTAACTCAAGGAATGGAAGTGTGTATCCAGTGGGAAGAAGTCATTTGTTTTGGGCTACACTGTAATTTTCCTTTTGGGGATAGTTAAGAGAGTTTACCTCCCCACACCTTTGTATTTAAACGTTTTTCTTAATTAATGAAAGTTTTCTGTTATTGATAAAAAAAATATTAATTTAATTATAGAAGAGATTGGAATCCTGGAGAGAAAAAAAGATAAAATATAAATATAAAAAACGGAGTATGGGAGAGTAATTAAGTTTGATTAGTTTTTATAAGGGGCACACTTAAGAGAGGATTGTTTTCTCTCTTTAGTTTTTTTACAGGGGCACACCTTACAGACTCCCCTATCTCTTGTCTTAACGGTGGCTGTGATGCAATTCTCCAAAACTCCAAACAGGCCACCAGTGTGCCCAGTTCCCTTCCTCTACTTTTTTTTCCTTCTTCTTCTTCCCCATCGATTCAGCGCTACTGAATTAGTCAATGAACCGCCATTTCTTCCCATTCTCCCCTCTCTCTTCCCTTCTTTTTAGTTCTCCAACAGGGATGAGAGAGTGAATAGTCGGCATTCTTTGTTTGTTGACTCCTTTGTTCACCGACAATGAGGAAGAGATGACAGAGAAAGAAGAAACATGAGGTCTGACTGTTGACTCCTGTTTTTTACAGCATTCAAACAAGACGATGAATAGTTTTGGATTTTTCGAACAAAGAGGCATGGGTGGAAATCGATTTTCGTCTGCTATCTCTAAATGTGGTTGGAGGTAGCTTGACATTTGAAGAGTTTGGAGGAGATACCAAATGACCCCGAACGTCTGGAAAGAACTTTTTCTGCATTTGGAGGTCCATTTGGTGCTACCAAACACCATCTTTTAGACCAAATCAACTTTAAAAAGGTTGATCTCTCTCGTCCTCCTAAATGATAGTTGAAGGCAGTTAGAAATAAAAAATTGACGGTTTTCAAAACTTTTCAGTTAGTTGCATAGTATCACCATGTTTGCTTGCTCACCATCATTCTGATTATCTGGTTGCTGACTCAAACTATCACTTTTCACCTTTCCTCAGGTCAGTCAATTGCTAGAGATTCTTTTGATTATTTAAAGCAGTATGGAAATGAAAGTCAAAACCAAGGGCTTATAACAAATGGTGGGAAGTTTGTTCCAAGTCCAAAGGTTCTTGAATTGAGAAACAGGTTGATCAAGTTCATGGAGGATCACATATACCCCATGGAAAATGAGTTCTACAAACTTGCTCAGTCTGCTTCACGCTGGACTGTTCATCCAGAGGAGGAAAACTTGAAGGAGCTGGCCAAGAAAGAAGGGTTATGGAATTTGTGGATACCTGTATGTATTTCAGCTCTGTTTTTCATTTTGCGTTTTTTTTAATGCTCTGCTCCTTGTAATTTCTCTAGTAAAATTGTGCTCAATATGCATGTCTTCTTCAGAAAGCATATTTTTGACAGTTCGAAGATTATGTACCTACGAATCAGCTGTTTGATGCATGTATTTGTAATTTATACACAGCTAGACAGTGCAGCCAGAGCAAGAAAGATACTTTCTGATGGGTCAAACTACTTATCTTCGGGGAATGCAAAAAATCATTTATTTGGCGCAGGGCTTTCAAACCTTGAGTATGGATACCTTTGTGAGATCATGGGGCGCTCAGTTTGGGCTCCTCAGGTATTCAACTGTGGTGCACCTGACACTGGAAATATGGAGGTAATCATGTTTTGGAGATTGCTTTCATCTATTTTGTTCTGGCCTATGAAATATATTTTCATTTGATGGTTAATCATGTATTAATCAACGGTAAAATCTATCAACAGGTGTTCAACTGTTTTTTTATTTTTATTTTTTGGTTTGTTTAGAAGAGAATATGTCATACCTAATGAATCTATTTTGGATTTTGTGTATCTTTGTGTTGTGCTCTCTTCTGTTCTAGGTATTGTTGCGGTATGGAAGTAAAGAGCAACTAGAAGAGTGGCTTATTCCTTTACTTGATGGGAAAATTCGTTCTGGATTTGCAATGACAGAACCACAAGTTGCATCTTCTGATGCAACCAATATTGAGTGTTCAATAAAAAGGTAGGTTCATGAAAGAAGTTTTAATTGGAAAGGTCAACAAGAACTGTATAATATAGCACGGGTTTCTGGATTTTAAAGGCATGGATCTGTGGACTAGCAGTCTTATAGGGTAGAAAGAATATTGAGGATGATGTGTAGGGGAAGGTCAGATTCTTGATCATTTTCAAGTGTTTTTTGTGATATGGTAGTAAGGTGGATTGTCAGAGTAGGTACTCAATATTGATTTACTACTAAGGAAATACCTGTATAATAGGTAGGTGGATATGCAATATGTTCACCTTTTGGAGCTCAGTTTTAACTTCCTTGGTTGCTAAAAGTTTAGAACTGTATGCTCTGGTCATGAATTTTGGGTTCTGAATTATAAAGTACATTTTAAGACAACTAATATGTTAATTATTTCGCAGCAATGTTCTGTAACTGTTAGTATTAATTGGTCTAGAGTGGGATTTCTGCTCATTATTATTGATGGATCACCTAAACATTCTCTATGCAGACAAGGGGACTTTTATTGCATCAATGGAAAGAAGTGGTGGACAAGTGGAGCGATGGATCCTAGGTGCAGAGTTCTGATAGTCATGGTTAGTTGTACTTGTATAGCCACTTTTGAAACTTCAAGAGAATAGGCCAGTACTGCCACTGTGTTTTGGTTGATGTCTTTAAGGTGATCTGAATAACATGCAGGGAAAGACAGACTTAACGGCTCCCAAACATAAGCAGCAATCCATGATCCTAGTTGATATGAACACTCCTGGTATACATGTAAAGAGACCACTCATGGTATTTGGATTTGATGATGCACCACATGGGCATGCAGAAATATTGTTTGAGAATGTACTTGTGCCTGCCAAGAATATACTTCTGGGAGAAGGACGTGGATTTGAGATTGCACAGGTGAAAATTATTTGACCTTTTTAAAGCTTACCTCTTGAGGGATGTTTTGATCCTGTTCAAACCACTCCACTCTATTCAGTGGCAATTTAGGGTTAGCATCCTTTGTCAAATGGATCTCCTTCATGACCTATTCAAAACAAAATTTGAGCTGCAGATTGATTTACTATGAATGGTCCAGATGCTAATAGGAGAAATGGGTAGATAATTCAATTATAGAGGGGTTTTGCAGGGGTGTCATGGAAATATGGTACCATCCCTCTGCATATGCCTCACATAATCATGTTTACAAATTTATTGTGGTAGGCCTTCATTAGGTTCTACCTCGTGAATACACTTTAGATTACCCTGTGTCTTTGTTAAATCTAAAATAAATTATATCATATCTTCGTGGATACTTCAGATTATCTTGAAATTTTGCAGGGCAGGCTAGGTCCTGGAAGGCTACACCATTGCATGAGACTGATAGGTGCTGCAGAGCGTGGGATGGGGATGATGGCACAAAGAGCTCTTAAAAGGAAGGTGTTTGGAAAATTGATTGCTGAGCAAGGTTCATTTCTCTCTGATATTGCAAAGGTGTGTTATTCAATTCTTTGTATTGGGTTGCCCATCCTGACTCTGAAACAGTGAAAGATACCTCCCTAGCTTTGTGAAGAAAAACTGATGAAATCCATTACCAAAATACAAATTGCTGAAGTTTCTATATATGAATTTTTAGAATCTCTTTACCCACTTATCTTGCTTGCTGGCAATAAAAAATACTAACAGGTTCTAAATGCAATGCGGCTACATCTGTAACAGTTATACCATAGAAAGGTTCTATACTTGTATATACTTAAGCTTGTTTTATCACCCATTGGATTGTTATACTGATTGGCCATCTCATTTATGAAACTTGTGTCGATCTAACTTGACTCAGAACTTGAGTCATTTGGTGGGGCTTCAAAACTGAAGAACTCATTTATTAGAAGTGTATAGATCTTGGACCTTTTATGCATCTAACAATCTAGTAAGCTTGATTAAATCAAAAGTCAGATAATTATTTTGGCCTTGATAAATCCATGTGAATTAGAATTGTATCATGTTTTGTAGTGTCGAGTGGAGCTGGAAAAGACAAGACTGTTAGTTCTTGAAGCAGCAGATCAGCTTGATCGTCTTGGAAACAAAAAAGCCCGCGGAACCATTGCCATGGCCAAGGTAAGAGATTATCTATATATTAACCTGGAAACTGGATTGGTCTTGACAATTAAATCCTATATACAGTCACCAAGCTGCCTTCTTCATTCCGACTATTTCCTGTTGCTTTTAAGTCCCAAATACTTGATTGGTCTGTTAAATCATATAAGCCTCCAATGGTTCTGAGCTATTTTAAATCTTGCATATGCTCAACTTTTAGTTATTTCCCCCCCCCCCCCAAAAAAAAATAATAATAATAAAAATAAAAAAGGAAGAAAATCTGCTTAAAGTGAGGCTAGGTGATAGGAGAGCACCTTCTCACTTAGGTAATTAAGCGCCAAAGTTAAAACAGCAAGAAATTTAACTAAAGTGCATGGTGAGGCATGCACCTAAACAAAGTACCACCTTTTGTTGTTGTTTCTGTTTTTTTATTAAGAAAACAAAGGAAGAGTTTCATATAGGAGGATGTGTAAACCTAGATTTTGAAAGAAATAATATATTTCAAAAGCTTATTAGCTTAATTGGTTGTAATTGTTAATGTCGACTGTGTAGGGGTATTTTTGTCTTTATGCTTATGTTTAAGTTGCTGATGTGTAAAGTTATGTTAGTACTTGTGTCCCTCACTTAAGTAGGGGCAAAGGTGTCCTTTCTTGATTAACAGAAATATAAAATAGATCTGGCCGAATGGAGTGAGATAGATTTTCTCTCTTGTTCGAACTAGACCTTTCTCCCTCTCTTTTCTCTTCTTTTCTTCTTCTTCTTTCTCTTATTTCTACTGTTACCATTCTAACAGATTTCAAAGGCAGATTGGATTCTAATATGGTATCAGAGCCAAATTGAGCAAATTGAATCTGCCCAGAATTCTGTTCATCACGCACCCAGTCTAGGGTTTTCTCTTGTTTTCTTCGCCATCAGTTGGAGATAAGGGAAGGAGCTGAAAAGGAGTGATCGTCCTCTTTCCTTGGAGGTTTCTATGCCTCCAGTCATGCAGTTCGTGGGTGGTTGCTGTGGATGTAGGAACCCCCCCCCCTAATCGATGAAGAGAAGAGGGCTGATTCGAGTGATGCAGTGGGTGTCGAGTATAGTCTGATTTTCTGGTGATTAGGTAAGAGGTTTTTATGTAGTTTTTTATTGTGAATCAAATGATGAGTATGCTTCAGATCGTATGGTGGGAATTCAGGTTGTAGTGTGTTAGGGTTTATGCAAATTCTAGTGTGATTTGAAGGGGGAGTGATCCTCGAACAGTGTGGTGAGTTTTCAGGTAGTCGTGTGGTAGGGTTGTGGTGTAGAGAGTGTGGTATTCAGCAATAACAGGTGCTGAGAACAGTGTGGTTCAATGTGCAGTGTGGTTTAGTGTGCAATGTGCAGAATTCAGCAATAACAATTCAACAATGGGAGACAACAGTGACAGTAAAACTAGTGTGGTGGTCCCTACTGACTACCTGAATGTTCAGATGACCTCTATTAAGTTGAATGGAGAAAATTATGTACCTTGGGCAAAATTTGTAGAAGTCTTTCATAAGGCAAAGAAGAAAGTGAAACACATAAGGGAGGAAAAATCGTCTACTGATTCTCATGAGTATGATGACTGTGAACAAGAAGATGCACAAATTATCACATGGTTATGGAACAATATGGAACCCAAGATTAGTATGAATTTCATGTTTCTTGATACTACCAAGGAAGTGTGGGACCATGCTAAGAAATTGTATTCGGGTCAAGACAACACAACTAGAGTATATCAGCTGTATCAGGAATATTTTAATTTGCAACAGGGTAATCAGGGTCTTGAGGAATACTATGCTAGTATGAGAAAGATTCATAATGAGTTGAATGTGTATCACCCCCTCACATCTGATATTAAAATTTAGCAACAGTAGAGAGAACAACCAGATGTGACCCGATTTTTGGTGGGGCTGAAGTCTGAATATGAACCAGTGCGGGCACAGATACAAGGAGGATCAGCTCTCCCTTAGAAGAGGTGTTTGCTCGACTTAGGAGGATTTCTATTGGATCTACCGAGAACTCTAGTGTTTTCGATAGATCAACCTTTGTAGTATCAAGGGGCCTTGGTGTTAGAGGTGGAGCTCAGGGAGTTCAATCTAGTCGTAGTGGTAGCAGTGGACCGGTATATGGCCGTAATGGTGGTGGTGGACCTACGTATAACCGTGGTGGTGGTCGTACTAGAGATCGAGATTCAAGGGGAGTCCGCGGCAGAGGACGTAGTTCAGGTCTGAGAAGATGTACACACTGTGGTATGGATGGACATACCATTAATTATTGCTATGATTTGCATGGTCTACCTTCAACTTGGGCCAATCATGCCATGACCAGTGATAGCAACTTCAGACAGGAGAGCCATTCAGTTGATCAGATGCTCCCTACATCCACAGCTGTTCCTAGGAAGGAGATGATGAGTGTCCCCAATGATGAGTATGAGAGGTTTGTCCAGGCTACATCTCAACACAACACAGCCACTCTTGCACACTCAGGTATGGCTTGTCTGGCATCTACACCCAATCCCTAGATTATTGACTCTAGAGCCTCTGATCACATGACTGGAACTCCAGGTGTGTTTTCTTCCCTCTCTCATTGCCCAACATCACAATCTGTTACCCTTGCTAATGGTTCTATATCCTCCATTTGTAGTGTTGGTAATGTTAACATGAACCCTTTACCCTTATCCTTAGTTTTGTATGTCCCTAAATTTCCGTTTAACCTTATGTCTGTTAGTAAGTTAACCAAGTTTCCTAATTGCTCTATCACTTTTTACCCTTATTCGTGTTTTTTTCAGGATCTCAAGACGGGGATGAAGATTGGTGGAGGGCATGAAGCTGGTGGATTTTATTATCTTGATGGTAGTGGAAGTATGTCAACAGCTCTCCAGACATCTCTTTCTCCTCTCCAGTGGCACTGTCGATTTGGTCATCCTTCGCTGAAAGTTTTGAAGTCTCTTGTTCCTTCGTTGAGTCATCTTTTTGTTTTGGATTGAGAGTCGTGTCAGTTGGGGAAACATCATCCTGTTCCCTTTGGTCCTAAGGTTGATAAACGTTTGTCAGTCGTTTTTTTTTAGTTCATTCAGATGTTTGGGGTCCTTATAAAGTAATGTCATACAATGGGTATAAATACTTTGTTATTTTTGTTGATGATTATTCAAGGATGACGTGGCTTTATTTAATGAAAGAAAAGAGTGAATTGTTTACCATTTTCCAAAAATTTTATGTTGAAATTCAAAACCAATTTGGTGTCCACATTAAAATTTTTCGTTTCGATAATGGCCATGAATATTTTTCTACATCATTTCAAGAATATTTGGACCAACATGGCATTATCCTTCAGACTTCATGTACCTACACCCCACAACAAATTGGGGTGGCTGAGAGAAAGAATCGTCATCTTTTGGAAACTGCTTGATCCCTCGTGCACCACATGAATGTACCCAAATCTTTTTGGAGTGATGTTGTGCTTAGTTCTTGCTTCCTGATTAACTGAATGCCCACGTCTATCCTTGATGCTCATTCTCCCTTCACCACTTTGTTTCCTACCTTGTCTCCGTTTTCCCTTTCTCCTCGGGTTTTTGGGTTTGTCTGTTTTGTTCATAATTTGGGGTCGGGAAGGGACAAGTTAGATGCACGATCCATTAGGTGCATCTTCCTTGGCTATTCCCTGACTTAGAAAGGGTATGTGTTATAATCCTAGTACTCGACGTTCCTTTGTGTGTGCTGATGTTACTTTCTTTGAGTCCACTCCGTTTTTCTCGGGGTCAGGTGATGTTTCTTCTTCCTCACTACCTCCTCCTCTTCCCCTTCCAGTTGTGGATTCCGTTCCACTTGTTCCAGCTGTGACCAAGTCTTTGCCTCCAGTGCCACCACCTGTTGAATGGCCACCTATTTGTCAAGTGTATACACATCACCAACATGTACTGGCTCCTCCTCCAATTCCATCATCGTCGACATATCCGACAGTTGTTCCCACACCATCCCCAACCCTAGTGTCTGAACTTGATCTTCCCATTGCCTTGCAGAAAGGTAAATGCAGTTGTACCCTTCATTCTATTTCTAATTATGTTTCTCACTCACCTTTCTACTTCCCATCGCCAGTTTATCTCCTTGTTATCCTCTGTTGTTGTCCCTAAGGATGTCCAGGAAGCTCTTGCCTCTCTAGGGTGGCGTCGTGCAATGGAAGAAGAACTCTCCGCTCTAATTCATAATCATACATGGGATCTCACCACACTTCCTCCTCGTAAGCAGGTTGTTAGTTGTAAGTGGGTTTACACTGTTAAGTACTTACCTGATGGTAGTGTAGAGCGGTTGAAAGCTGGACTGGTTGCCAAAGGGTACTTCCAAACTTATATTGACTACACAGAAACCTTCTCCCCGGTTGTTAAGATTGGTTCAGTTCATGTTGTGATATCCCTTGATGCTATGTATGATTGGCATCTCTTTCAGCTTGATATCAAGAATGCTTTCTTACATGGTGATTTACTTGAGGAGGTTTATATGGAGCAACCACCGGGGTTTATTGCTCAAGGGGAGGATGGTACGGTGTGCTGACTAAAGAAGGCCATTTATGGACTTAAACAGTCCCCTCGAGCATGGTTTGGTAGGTTCARTGAGGTGGTAAAGAAGTTTAGTATGAAACAGTGCCAGGTTGACCACTCATTCTTCAGTCATGACTCTCAGGCTGGAAAGATCCTATTGGTGGTATATGTAGATGATATTGTTATTACCGGGAATGATAAAGTGGGAATTGATAGGTTGAAAACCTTTCTGCAGGAACACTTTCAGACAAAGGACCTTGTAAACTAAAGTATTTCTTGGGGATAGAAGTAGCAAGGTCTAAGCATGGTATTAACTTGTGTCAAAGGAAATATGTTCTTGATTTGTTGGAAGAAATAGGATTATTAGGTGCTAAACCAGCTGAAACACCTATGGAAGCAAATACTAAGTTGAGCAGTGATATGGTGAAGAGTTTGTAGACCTTGGTAGGTACCAGTGGCTAGTAGGTAAATAGAACTACCT